AGCTCTCAAAGAGGTGAGTGGGTTTCGTGAAGTTCTTCGAAGAGGCAAACACAGTAGGGAGGAAGGGGAAGAATGAGAAAATTGGCACCTACTACATGCTGGGGTTGTGCTGTGCCTCTCCGCACAGCTCGTGTCATGGAAGCCTTGTCTTCTGCATGCCGCTTGGTGGCCACAGGTGGGATACATCGAGCATGGGGTGATCGTGCACGGAGCGGGACTTGATGAGATAAGTCCTTTGGGGCCATCAAAGATAATAGAGATAAGAAACTCCGCTGAAGTGGGAAAGCCGAAGCAATACGAAACCAAAGAGTATGTCATCGATCCGAAGGATTATGGTTTTCCTGCGTGCAAAATGGAGGACCTCAGAGGGGGAGACCGCGACGAAAATGCCCGATTGCTCCGCGAAGCCTTAGAGGGCGGCACATGGACGAGCAACGGAAAGAAGGACGCAATAACGCTCAACGCTGGAATAGGGTTGTACGTATATGGTTTGGCGCCTACCATCGAGGCTTCTTTCAAGCTGGCAAAAAGCACGCTGGAATCAGGAGCCGCCATAGCTCAGGTTTGGGATAAATCAATGCGTTGTGTGTCTTTTAAAACGAATGTGGTCGCCTTTTTGAAGTACTGCTGCAACCCTCTTTTTACAGCCACTTGGGCGTTACAATGTGATTCGAGGTGAAGAGCTCGTTTCTCAGAATCACATGTGTAACTCTGCAATGTAAGGACGAAGGACGCTTCCAGGAGGTTCATCGTTGGGATTAAGGCACTTCCTAGTGATACGAGTGACAAACTTTGAACTTTGAACTCCTGTGCAAAGTCGCGTATGTTGTGCGAATTACTCAGATGTCAGATGCGGTCAAATGCCCAGTCCACAACCTCGAAATGCCCCCAAGGAAACGCTAGATTACGTGTTTTAGTCAACGTCTCTGTAAGTCAAGAGTATCCTGCCATGCCCGCGAGATGTTATCAGCTGATTTGAACTTTCGTATTGGTGTTGTCGCTCTTCCAGCTGGATAAATGGATTTCATCGTCTACAAGAATTACGTCAGCCGGATGAAGAGCAGTTCACCCAAGATAGAAGAGCGACGTCGACATGTAGCTGCTGAAAATGCCCAGGACTTGAAGCACGACAACGCCAGGGTGCGTTCGCATGGGGTTGAAAGCGTTGGCGCATGTTTTTAAATGCTGCCACACGGTCGACCTCGAGGACTTGTGTGATTGTGTTTTTCGCGAAGCTTAGGTCTACTGGTTGTTCGTAAACTTTTCCGTCAAGTCAAGTCGCCCGCCGAAATCCTTCAAATGGACGTGAGCTGCCAGGCTGTTAGGGTGTCTCTCATATTCACGGCTGTTGCTGTGGTCACTTGCAGCAGTCTATTGTTTGGATTTAGCGTTTCTATACAAAACCTATGCTCTTCATTGTATTGGCATTCGTTTCTAATTCTAAAACCCATATAATACGGGAGAGTATAGGTTCAGTATGGCCATACTCTATCCTGCAGGTTTAAGTGTTGCATTCCATAACACATATGTTACCGGGGTGTAGGTTTAGGTATATGGCCGAAAAAAAGACTCATAACACCGATGTATAGGTTTCAGTATAGGTTATACTAAATCCACACAACAATTCATTCTCCATAGGTTTTATTTAGTCTACCACACTAAATCAATTGTAACTAAGCGTATGCCAAAGGTTTAAGTATACCATACTAAATTCTGTACACTAGACCCCCTACCCGTCCCCTCGCGACCAAGATTGACTTGTAACCAGGTGGGGGGTTCCATGTTTCCACTGGGGCCCCTTGCTTTCAATGCAATCTGAACGCCCCCCCCCCCCCACCCCCCCACGCTATATGTTAGATTCGTTTGGTCCTTGATCTTGCTTTTCCAACATTATTGAGCATATTAATGGCCACAGGCGGTCGGACTGATCTATAAATGCTTGTTCTTGCTGTTTGTACCGTCCACCCAATGATCTGAAATTACCAAAAAAATATCTTGTGCAGATTTACAAAGAAAATTGTACAACCCCTTTTCATCACTCGCAGATTTG